CATTAGCACCTCTAGTATTATATTTACTGAGAAAAATGTTGACGTGTTCAGTACTTATTTTACCCGCTGTATCTACAACTGATTCACTTTTGGATTCAACCCAACTCAAGATGGCTGCCACAGCTAATGGATTTTTGCAAACACAAAATTTGGGGTGTGGTAATATCTGAGAGTAATATCCATMACATATTTCAAGCTCTAACAGATTGTGTAACATTATAGTAGAAAACTTTAGCTTGAAAGATGATTGGAGATTCACATTCCTTCAAGGAAAGCTACTTTCAGTTTATTGCTAACTTTACACAAAACTGCATTTCYAAAATAATAATAAAAGAAACACTGAGATAGAAAGGTTTCAAACATTTAATATTTGTCAGTAAAGCCATTTTGGTCACTAAAGTAAGTAAAACATCTACATGAATATGTGATTATGTGACTGGACTGTGTGAGCCTTTTCTACAATTGTTTACAGCGATATAAAGTGCTAAATCCACTAAAAAAAATACATTTGTCTTTTGCATCGTAATCACTTTCACTTCCCACATGTTGGGGGAAAGAAACACTTCATAAGTGATTCAATAAATAAATAAAATAAATACAAGTCTTTTTGAAATGCTCTCAGACCCTCACAAGTCTGAGAGGGACGCCAGTTCATGGAGGAGGAGAGCAAATGATGGGCGATCTTCTGGTTTCTCCTTCCAGCACCACTCCATAAGCATGTAGACAGAGTCTGGGGCCAAGCGTGGCTTCAGGAGCCTCAGGCCCGAGTTCAGAGACGCCACCACCTCGCTGTTAGACAGGTTCTCATAAGGGAGACGGCCCTCGTTATAGACCTCCCACATAAGCACGCCTGGCAAAAGAAAAAAAAATGAAGCTGTTACAAAACATATAAACCAGGTGATCGCATGACATGTTCAGAAAAAAACCCCAAAGAGGAATCTTTCACTTATTTTTATTTGCTTTTTGTTTGTTATTTGTTCTTAATCATCAACTCTTGTTATAATTACCATCCATTGTAAAGAATGAATGACTTGTCAAATATATAAAATGTTTAGGCTGTTTATCCATCTAGCAGCACAGCATAAAGACTGCATTCCTCATAATTCCAGAAATTTTAAACTTAGACTTCTTTAACACATCTTCATAGGTAAAAAATATTTTAGTAACATTTTGTGTTTCAAACAGTTCATACTTTTTTTAGTTAATTGTAGACAAGTAAAGTTAAAGTAAACAACAGAACTCATGTTAACAAATGGGATTTTTGCCCCGTTTTTAAAAAAAGTCATATGTATGTATTAATAAATTTATCACAAAAAATGAAAAAATGTGTGTTTGGTAGATTATTTCTTTGTTGTAACAATGCCTTTTGGCAATACATCCTATGACTGGCAGCACCTGCGGGTACCAGAAGTTCTAAAACAAGTCTCAATAGCAACAGAATAATTTGGCCCAATTTCATATGTGCAACCGACACACTCAGTTCTACTTCTCATCCCACAAATGCATGTTCCTTACAAATGTGGCACAATTTAAAAAGAAATAGGCTTTATAACAATATTGGCTATATATAATATTTAGATACTTTCCAGGTGTTGATTTTCGTAGCTTTCTTTTCTGCTGTATGTTCAAACTTCCTTTTCTTTTCTTTAGTTTTAATTAGTTATTTGATGCCTAAACAACATTATTAACCAGACTGATGAGCCAAAGGCTAGTCCAAGTGAGGACAAGACCAAAGTGGATTTCTGCTGTCATTTAAAATACTCGAGTCTTCCAACATTTCTTGTTGATATACTTAGAATTAAACTCTGTTTATCCAGAGTAAAGCTGCTCAAAGTGTTACCTATAACACGTAAAATATTTAAAGCTCATTCACAAATTCTAACTTCAAAATGTGTGCTTTTTGAATATCTGTCAACTTACTGTGAGCATATAGTGACGTTTCCACTCGTTATGCAGCATGCAGTGACAGATATAAATAGTCCGATAATTCATCTTAACCACCCTTATCAGCTATTTCCTTCCTAAACCTGTCAGCTTTTCTGCAACGCCTCATTATTTATCATCATCTCTCAAGAGTAATAAAAAAGTTTGATATAATTGTTTCTTTCCAGATGGGAAATGTCAGTACTCAAATACTATTTGAGATTTTTTCTTCATGATGAAATGAAGAATTCCTCATAAAAATTACATAAAATTAGGATTCAGACCAAACAGGAATGCATTATAGTAACCAACAAGACAAATTAAGGCATATCTCTGGTTCTGTTTATGGTAAATGGTACTGAACTTATGGAGCGCTTTTCAAGTCCCTCCGGACCCCAAAGTGCTTTACACTAACAGACATTCACCCATTGATGATGGCAAACTACAATTGTAGCCACAGCTGCCCTGGGGCACATTGACAGACCCTCTGACCACCATCAGTAGGCAAGGTGGGTGAAGTGTCTTGCTCAAGGCCACAACAACTGAGACGGCTGGACGGGGGGATCGATCCAGCGACCTTCCAGTTCCAGGACGACTCACCTTACCACTCCGCCACAGCCGCCCATATTATGATATCAGAATGATACATGTATCAAACTGTAGCTTTTAAAGCCAGGAATCTGAAAATGTAGTTAGGTCATTTTGACCAAATTTTGACTTAATCCTCATTTTGATATGATGGGTCACATATTTTACTAAAACGTTTAAGAATAAGCTTGTAAGGGACAAAAGTTTCTGTGGTTTCTGTTGGGGAACAATCTCCTAAATTAGTGAAGTCTTATCAAACGTCTAGAGGGTTCTCATAGAATCCACTGGTAAAGAAAACAAAAGAGCAGCAGCAGCACAAACAAACAACAGGCACAAGGCAACTTCTATGACCTGAAGCCAAAGCGGCACACAAACAAACTGAACAACAGCCATGTTTAGATGTGTTAACGTGTGTTTGAACTCACCAAATGACCAGACATCAGACTTGCTGCTGAACTTGGAGTATCTGATGACCTCTGGGGCWGACCACTTGACAGGAAACTTGGAGCCCTGGGAGCTGGTGTACTGGTCGTCAAGAACAAACCTACAGTGGACACGACATTGTCCGAAAACAACGCACCAGCTCAGCTGCAGACGCCATTAGAAGTTTTATTCAAAACATACCTGGTCATCCCGAAATCGGACACCTTCACCTCGTTTTTCTTYGAGACCAGACAGTTCCTGGCAGCCTGTTGGAACACTGGGATTAACAAAGTCTTCCAGTTTTAAAGCCATGGTTGATCTTTTTTTTCTGCAGGCTTAACCAGATCTCTGTGGATAAAGTTGGAGCTCTCTAAGTACGCCATCCCCTCGCTGACATCCAGACACATCCCCAACATCACGTCCCGAGACAGACGGCCTCTCCGTTCTCGCAGGTACGCAGACAGGCAGCCGTTCTCCATGAACTCGAACACCAGGCACATGGGGGAGCGCTGGGTGCACACGCCGTACAGCTGCACAAGCTTACCGTGGGACARYTTCCTGTTCAAACACACACAGAAAAACAAATATTCAGACGTTTTGGAAACCAAACAATTGTGTGAKGGGTTTGCCCAGTGCTTACATCATAACTTTTGCCTCCTCTTTGAATTCCTCGTCCGACATGCAGTCTTCTCGTACGATCTTCACCGCCACCCTCTGCTCCCTCCATGTCGCTTCCAGCACCAGCCCGAACTGCCCGCTGCCCACCTCTTGACCCAGGGTCAGCTCCTCAGGGTCGATCTCCCACTGATCTGTTGAGACCAGCAAACAAAGGGATACAAAACTAAACCCACATTCATTGATCAGCCACTTAACCTCATTTTGTYCACATTCTTTCCGTGGAACCACGCTAAAGCATCGACAACTTTAGATTTTCYGTGGAATTGCTTGCACTGAATTAAGCACGTCCGAGTGCCATCCTGTGAAAAAACCACAAGAGGTCAGCAWAAACGTGCTCATTTGGAGCATCATGTCACCTTTAGAGGGATCAGCAGCAACCTGGGAACATYGTCTTCCTTGAGAGATGGGGTGTCTCAGTCGGGTTATGAGTCCTGCCAAGCGACAAACAAAAACAGGAGCCAAAAACACACCAAAAATGGTTATGAAACATACCTGGGCTGCACATTCTGCTTCCYTGAGTCATACTTTTTTATTATTATTATCTAAGAGTCCTTTTTATTGCTTCTAAGTAGAGCGTATGCTTACCAGCAGCATTGTGTTGGTGGTAATGGATTAGCTCTGGAATGGTGCTGAACAGGTATTTTTCTGCCAGGTAAAAAGCGTTCTGCCCTGTTTCTGACTCTCGTATCTGGTAATGTTTTACCCTGGGATTCTTCTCACCGTTGGACCTAAAAAGGACAATTATTTTTAAACAACAGCAACCATTTATAAAATGATTAATGCAAAGATCCTTAAAACTGACAAAAAAGTTGTGTCTGTAGTTATACACGYAAACATTAAAGTGTGTTAAGTCATTGTTTAAGTATAATGATGTAAAAAAAATGCATATTACTAGTTAAAGAGTACAAGTGGTCTCTGTATTCTTTTGGGTAAACTGTGGATGTAAAAGGAAATACTGGCCACTGTACGGGAACTTGGAAGTTGAATCCAGAGCTTATCCTTACAGGGCSGTCCCAGTATAAGCTTTAAGTCCCGCCCCTTTCTTGTAAACAAACAAGGCATTAGAAAGCTCATGTGATACTGCGATTGTGTGCGTAGTTCTTTTGCGTGTACTAAAATTGAATGTAAATCCTGACTAATTCACTGCAATAGGAAAACGTTGGAATCACTCAAGGCCGAGTCAAACAGTGTTTCGTTTGCTCAGCGATACATGTAGTTCTTTTGCAGTRAAYGRATCACAAGTTGCTCATTCCCTCAGKAATCAACAACAGTCTCTCCTCRCCTGGCCAAAGTGCACAACRCTGTATCATTTAGATTCACAAGTGAGTCACAGAGCGCAGGTTTCACTCCCGACTGGCACGCTCACAATGAGTTTAACTGAGCTGACAACAGAACGWATCAGTTAATGAAGTGATTCGATTCCATTTGTTCACGCAAAAGATTTGTWGTGTGCAGGCAAGGTAGGCTAAACTTAAAGCCTCCACATCCAGAGTGTAGCAGACATTTTTACAGTCACGAATGAGTAAAATTGTTCAATACACATTCATAGCTATTCAAGGTCGGCCTTCAACTCTAGTTCAAGTGTCCTGATGCATCTCAGTAATCCAGGTAAAAAATCAAAAAGAAAATAATTGTATAGGTC